ATAATTTGCACAAGAGAGGAATTAAAACCAAAGTTTGTGATCTAAAAATGAGAAAAATACATGTTTAACTTAGTAAGATTGGATCAGGCACTAGGAGTCAGCGTGGTCGGGCGGGTAAAGTCTGTGGTTGCTAAAACGAAATGTTCGATCTTCGATAGCTATGTACACAAACCCATCAAGGAGAGACAACTGCAAAATCAAGCAACTGTTGCTGTGTCGTTTGTTCTTGTACAGGATACAAATATAGACAGAAAAGCAGGCTGAAATAGGAGTCAATTTGTGAATTCGACAGTACCAACGCTGCCACTGAAAATATTTGCTTTAAAACACTATCAGTAGCTCGTTAAGGACGATAACCCCCCCCCCCCTCCTTTCCCTAACCCCTTACCCCCCCCCCCCGTGAAAGTAAACTCCTGTTAGTTACCTCCCCAAAGTGTAAAATCGTTTCAAACTAAATTATCTGCCCCTAATAGTCGTCACTACACCCGGCTCTACGATTGTAAACATTTAGCGTGAACCACAGCTCACCAGACCATAAAGGGGTGGGGTGGTAGGGAGCGCGCTTACAGCTTGGTGTTTTCTATCGTCTCCAAGAAGAGAATTATATACATGGATATTGTTTTAATATTCCTTTATTACTCGCAATTAATAAAAACGAAACTTATGAGTTCACATCGTATCGGTTCTATACTCAACACAATCGATGGTTTTACTTTTGTTTCAAGTTATTAAGATTTTCACTGTAAACTACCCTATACAGACCAAACGCCACTTATGGCAGATGATGTAGAGTTAATGTTTTACTGTCCTGGTATATCAAAGCGCGTTCTGCACCTCGCCCTGTTGTCTATAGTTTCTCCCACTGAAATTAAGATTTTATGGTTAGCTATCGTGCGCTCTACCGTTCGTCTACTTTTATTTTCATTGCTGACATTTCTGCGACACTTTTGTGTGGATCTGTCATTAAAACTGGGGTACACAACCTTCGCACAAGGAGTCGATTTTAAATCAACAACAAGGACGATCTAATGGGTGTTAATATACTAGGCAGGATATCAAGTGCACCAAAATACTGACATAAGATCCGTAAAATTTTATATATATATATATATATATATATATATAATGTATATATATATATATATAATATATATATATATATAATGTATATTTATAAGGTCAAGTCATTTGCAATCAAATTTATATGTGCATGTATAATACCCCATCGCTAAATGAATGAAATTAATACAATATTTAGGTAGGCCTATACCAGAATCGGCAACCTGCGGCTCGCGAGCCGCATGCGGCTCTTTTGATGTCGTGATGCGGCTCTTCAGCTCCATGCACAAATATTAACAATTATTTTATTTTATTTTTAAAACTCATACAAATATTGTTCTGCAATACTCGGCAATGAACGATAAAATAATAAACACTCGCTATCCTATTAGAATATTTAGTTACGCCCTATTTCAATTTACTTCCTATTTAGATGATTGTTTCGAAAAAAAATTACTTCATTTTGTTGAAGACCTGGAGAGAGGTAAATTACTTTATTTTAAAAAATCTGAAAAAAAAAATATGAACAACCCAACACTACTATTAACATGAATCACTTCAGCATTACTATAAACAAAATGAAGGATGGGTTCACTGAGATATTTGAGCAATTCAAAAGAAATGCAAGTACTCTGACCTTCACAGTCAAAGTAGATTCTCTCAACACAAAATTAAAAGAGATTTGGAATTGATGCTGGTTCGCTTCAAATTAAATTGCTAGATTTGAAAACCACAAATTTGTGGAGCGGTAAGCTCACATATCTCAAGAGCAAGTTAGACGATTTGGAGGCCCAGAACAACATGCATGTTTCACTGTACAACTGGACAGCTCTAAAAGAAATGTCGCGTGTTTACTATTGTTTAACAAGTTGAAAAAAATCACATAGTTTCAAATATGTAGCTTCTTTATTTTAGGAAAGTAGGTCTACCTTCAATATAGTAAAATAAATTAACCTTTCTTACAATGCTTCGCTCTTTTCTCGTAAACATAAATCTTAATTCTTCTATACACCACAGCAATGTTGCAACTTGATAGATCTGTATTATATTGGTTTCTTTTTGTTACTTCCAATATTTTAGTTCCAAACAAATAAGGGAAACAACTTTAAACTATGTTATCAAATTAATAAATAAACCAATACCCCAGTTGAAATATAAAACTCATGTAAATCCTTGTTGATTTTGTTTACTTTTCTATAAGTATTAATAAATGTTATGTAAATATTTTGTCTGCCTTTAAAATGTATTGATATTAATAGAAAAAATATTTTTAATTAAATTACGAAACTCATAACTATGTAAGATAACTTCGCGTTAATAAAATAAATTCCTTATATTTAATCAATCATGCTTTGCTCACTGCTTGTTTCTCAAAAAATGTATAGATCTACTTTCTCACAACTGTGATGTGGTCAGCCCCGTGGCAGTGGTTCCATGCTTTCTACTACCGAAGTGCATATTTTATTTATTATTTTCGAATATTTTCAAAAGTAGTTATTTAATTCAGAAAGCATTTTTGTATGTGTCAGTGTGCATTAATTTGACTTGAGTGACATAGTTTTTTAGTTATTAGCTTCTAACTTGGGTAGGGATAGTGCTATAGTTATATAATTTTATTTTATTATTCTATCAGAGCTAGCTAAAATACTTTATTATGTTTTGTGCGACACATATGTATGTTTTTATATGAATAAATAGTATTTTATAATTAAAAAAAAATAATCTACAAGATTTCTTGTGTTAACCAAATTACTCGCACGCAGGGGTCGGTAACCTGCCGTTCGCGAGTTGCATGTCAATAATTAGCCTATAATTGTTTATTACAGAAACTCAAAAAAAATTATACTGTAAAAACAAATACTTCAAACAAAATTAAAAAAAAAACAACGAGAATAGGTGGAGTGTATATGGACAGTTGACAGCCTAGGGCATTAGGCCCAGCCACACAACTGTGTTGTGGCCAGACCCGTGGCAATGGTTCTATGCTTTCCACTACCGAAGTGCACATACAAATGTTAGTGGCTCTTTAAAGTCTGGGAAATTTTGTAGATTGTAACTTTCGGCTCTTCCGTCTCAAAAGGTTGCCGACCCCTGGCCTATACAGTTAACCAAATATTTGTTGGTTTTTCAATGTCAATATTTAATGAGCTTCATTACACACAAATCTTATCATAAATTTGATCTGGCTAAAAACCGTTGTATGTCCTTCACCTTGAAAAATGTTATACACCTGCGACAGTAGCGAAGAGCCAACATGGTCACGTGTCTTTAGGTTTGTTTACTAGGGGAAACAATGGACGAGACAAAACGGGGACAGGATGTAAACAGGGAACATTTGCTAGAACTCAACTCAAATCTTGTGGTTGTTTCCTCTGTCTTTTAGGTATATACGAGCCGCTATTTAGTTGTTTTATTTTCTAATTTTCAGTAATTCTTAATTTGTGAATTCGACAGTACCACCCTCCTTTCCCCCAACCCCTACCCCCCCCCCCCCGAAAGCAGCCTCCTCTTAGTTACCTCCCCCAACGTTTAAAATCGTTTCAAACTAAATTATCTGCCCCTAATAGCCGTCACTAAACCCGGCTCTACGATTGTAAACATTTAGCGTGAACCACAGCTCACCAGACTTCCTAGAGAGGAAGAGGGGGACTGCAAGGCGCGCTTACAGCTTGTTTTCTAACGTCTCCAAGAAGAGAATTATATGTATAGATATATTCTGTGGCCCGGGGTTGTCATTTTATATATTCTGTTACATATGAATTGCATCCATATCGACGAGAGCTTGATCACGTGGTACAAAACCCACGTTTATCATGAGATGGTGTAGAGGTAAAAACTAAAACCGGCAACCTGAAAGCACTTTGTTTAAATAAATTGTTGAATTCCGCGTCATTCTGGTACCACGATGTAGACCACTTTACTTGCGGTACTAAAACAGTTTTGTTGGTAAAATGACTTCATTACTTGGCGGTACTAAAACAGTTTTGTGGGTAAAACGCCTTCATTACTTGGCGATACTAAAACAGTTTTTTGGGTAAAATGCCTTCATTACTTGGCGGTACTAAAAACAGTTTTGTGGGTAAAATGCCTTCATTACTTGTCGGTACTAACAACAGTTTTTTGGGTAAAATGCCTTCATTACTTGTCGGTACTAAAAACAGTTTTGTGGGTAAAATGCCTTCATTACTTGTCGGTACTAAAAACAGTTTTGTGGGTAAAATGCCTTCATTACTTGTCGGTACTAAAAACAGTTTTGTGGGTAAAATGCCTTCATTACTTGTCGGTACTAAAAACAGTTTTGTGGGTAAAATGCCTTCATTACTTGTCGGTACTAAAAACAGTTTTGTGGGTAAAATGCCTTCATTACTTGGCTGTACTAAAAACAGTTTTGTGGGTAAAACGCCTTCATTAATTGGCTGTACTGAAACAGTTTTTTTGGGTAAAATGCCTTCATTACTTGTCGGTACTAAAAACAGTTTTGTGGGTAAAATGCCTTCATTACTTGTCGGTACTAAAAACAGTTTTGTGGGTAAAATGCCTTCATTACTTGGCGGTACTAACAACAGTTTTGTGGGTAAAATGCCTTCATTACTTGGCTGTACTGAAACAGTTTTGTGGGTAAAATGCCTTCATTACTTGGCGGTACTAACAACAGTTTTGTGGGTAAAATGCCTTCATTATGTTGACAACTTACACAAATTGACGTTAATATTAATTATTCTTGGCTGTTCTTCTGACACTGTTCGTTTCTTTCATTATGTTAAATTTACGGTGCATTATTTTAAAATTTAGACAATGACGAAGTAATATGGTTGAGTATTATGGTTAAACATTTTTTTTCTTATGGTTGCTGTTTAACAAAAATACCTGTTTTATGTAATTTACCTTTTTAATTTATTCTTTTCTCTCTCCGTCCTGCCCCCCCCCCCTCCCACAAACAGCTTCCGGTCAAGATGTCTGGCTGCAAGTACTTCCTCCATGTTCTCCTCTTCCTCTTCCTATTGGGTAACGACGCCGCCGACTTCGTCAGCGATTGGCTCTTCTTCGTCGACGTGAAAATCGCCGGGAAAGGCCTGGTGTACGGGGAGCCAGACCAGGCGGCCGTGTGGGCTATGCTTGCCTTCTCCATCATCGGGACCTTCACCTTCTTCTTCGAGATCGTCAACCTGTGGTGGGAATCATTCAGGCGTAACCCGTGGATCGATTCAGATGTGCTATCAGCTGTGGTGATCTGGATTGAAGACATCCCTCAGATCGGGATTAGTTTATACCTGGCTACATGCCGAGAAGATCCGATCAGTGTTTTCCAGCTGACGAAAGCGGCTGTCGTTCTCATCAGCATTTTCATCCGCATCGTCGTCAGCTTGGTCAAGTACTGCAACCGGGACGCCATCCGGTCACATCATCACGTCAAGCATAAAGTCGTCATCATGTTCGGAGTTATCCTTGAAGCCTGCTGTGCCGTTGCCATTTTCTTCCTCACGCAAACCGAACGCGGTAGCGAGGGTAACGTCGCTTTCCGTGTTCCGACGACAGTGCTAGAAGATCGCTACAACGACAACCGCTACTTCTCTAACGTCAGCGTTTTTATAACTCACCCTACGTACTTTAACCTCGGCGATCCTGATACAACTGATCATGTATTCAATTTCATAAGACTCGCGTCTATATACAAAATTCGATCAAGTTACCGAAGCGAATTTTCGTGTAGTATTCAATACGAAAAATCACCTACTGAAGTTAAAATGGCGTTGTGGGAAAAACACGCATCGGAAACAAACCCAACCGGAAGTTGGTCTTTAGTAGAGTGTTACACGATAAATCAAAACGGCGCCGCTACTGAACTTGTTAATACTACCTGTGTTAACGCTTTCACCTCAAACTCCGTTGAACTTTTCATCAAATTTAAATTCTACCAACCGACTGATTTGTTCCGGAAGCAGGTTTTTGGTGACATCCTCTTCAACATGAAAACAAAAAACAACGGTTGTACCGCCATCGACAGCTACAGCACGGAGCTGTCCAACAGCGGCAAAGACGGCTTCCTCATGCATTACTTCCGCACCAACAGCACGCTACAGCCGGTGGACAGCAAGTTCTTACAGCACGACAGCGGTACGACAGCCAGGTTGTTCCGGAACGACGGGCTGGATTTGACAGACGTCAGGCAGGTGTGGAAGACCGGCTGGAACCAGTGCGAGTCCACGGGTCACATGGGTCCGACCCTGGACGCCAGCGTGGGGGTGGAGTGCCAGCGATAGCCTTGACCTTGAGGGATGTTCTGGACATCGCGTCGTGCTGGACTCGCTGATGCCTCAACCCTTGCAGGTCTACCTGAAGCTTATCTTGGGGGATGTTGTCTAGGCGGCAACAGACCTCATGGTTAGGGCTAGGGGGGTCTTATATATCTGACGTCACGCATTTTTAGTCGATTTATTACCCCCCCCCCCCCCCACACACACACATTACCTATCGTCCCTTGTCACAATAACCTCACAAATTTCGTCTATTCTAACCTAACCACGATTCTAACAAAAATCCACAATTTTTTTTCCTAATTCGTGTCTTTTAGCATAAATCTTCTATTCCACATCACATTTCATAACCTCCACCTCCCTTCTCCTCCCATCTTAATATCTCACTTAGTCTAAACACCTCTGCATATGACGTCATTTATAAATGACCCTTAAGCGTTAAGGTTATTTCCATATCCACATTTCGGTTTGTGTTAGGGTTACATTTTGGGTTATTTTCATACGGAGATATCAACCGATGATTTATAATATGTTTAGTAATTTCGACTACAGTAACTTATTTGGTATTAAAAACCGTATAGTATTTGGTCCAAATGTTCTTTATAATCAACCCAAGCAGCGATCTGCTCTCCTAACGAGACCGTGATGTTGTTTATAGTTTAATAAATAAAATACGCTCTGTTAAACTATGTGAAAAAAATATATTTTAGGACAAATATACTTAGCATTGTGATACTACTTGAAAAAAATACAGTTTTACTTTAGAAGAACTGAAAGGTCATCATAACTAAACAAAAAACGTTCAAGCTACATAATCAAATGACTTTTTTAAATTTAAACAAATGAATACATTCTTGTAGAATGTAGAGTATAACCGCGAAAGTGAAAGTCATGTCAAACTATTGTTCATGTTTTTGTTTTTGTGTATGTATTATGGATTGTATTATATTTTTGTTACGGAAATGACTTCATAATTAAATAAAATTGAAATTTGTTAAATTATTGCAGTAATTGGAATAATTCCAGATTCTCGCTTAAAAGGACATAATTTCCCCATTTCGCTAGATAATGGCTTAGTGTTGCTAAAAGGGAAACAACTTTTGTGGCTGCTAAAAAGAACAGATAAATGGAGACTCAATCAAAAAACAATGGCTGTTGCAATGTAACATTAGAAATACACACGTCAGGAGTTTGTATCACTAAAGTAATAGTTTATGTACCAAGATTGTAACATTGGATTAAAACATTCATCAGATGAATGTAACATTGGAACCAAAATATTGTAACATTGAAATATCGACAAAGGCAACAACAAGTGAATAATGATAGCTAATAATACATATTTGTTGATACCTTTATATTGTTTTTTTGTTTATGTAGTTCATCTTTAAATAATACCAAAGTATTCAAGCTAATGAGCTATTCATTAAAAAGAATTTATTACAAATTACATTGCTTTTAAAAATCGGACTTACATCCCCCAACCCCTCTCCCCCCCTCTATTACAACTTTTTCCGTCAGAGGAGGAGTTAAAAACAAAAACAAAATAAAACAATCGATTTATCCATTTGTTTTTTTAAAAAGTAGTTACAATATAATCGAAGAAAACACAACGTTGGCTATTTACAAGCCCTGAGTATTGATAACATGAACTTAATAGTTAACTTGCTTTTAACTAAAACACTTAAAATATTTCATCGATTATATTGATTTACTGTCGTATTTGATCTGAAATCGGTTAGGCGGTTACCCTACTTAAACAACTAGTCTTTGTTTACTTTGTAAAATTATTTTTTTTATATCCTTATATCTAGTCGTTTGTTGAAATTGATTTTTAATTAAACGTTGGGCTGAGTAATATGTATTTTTCTAGTTAATAAAAAAAATTACCCCAATAACCTGAATATAACATGATTAGCTTTTGAAAGAATGTGCATAAAAAATAAAGATAACAGATTAACTTTTGATAAAGATTAAAAAGGATTAACTTTTTGTTTGTTTTAGTAAACATAGTTAATCACCCTTTTTAGCAAATTTAAAACCAGGTTTTAAGATTCAAACTCATTTGATTTGGTCATTCGCGTGTTTAACCCTTTCATGTTACTCGCTAACAATCTGTGTGTAAATAATGAGAGTATGTTAACTCTCCCTCTAGATAAAGTAAACATTTAACCCTATAGGGGCCACCATAGTTTGTTTGACTTGAAATTTGATAACGCGAGTCTGAGGTACCATGAAATTTTTGTTGTAAAAATATTTAACTAAAACATTTCACAAGAATGCATTGGGAGTTTCTTTTATTATACCGACACGAATTAAATGTGTAAAACATTTTTTGGTAACTGTGCTGATTGTTATATTTTTATTTCATCTTAAATCTACAAATTATTTTGTAAACTTTTTAAAGACACATGATTATACAAATATATAACCACGTTAAGGTTCGTTATTTTGGATAAAAACACACGTAAGAAGGTAACTATTGCATTTGTTCTCATGTAAAACAGTAAAAATAATTTTGCTAAAATTGTCACGGCTAATGATTTTATAAATATATGACCATGTGAAGATTATGTTGTTAGATTATCAGTTTACTACATTCCTGTAAACGTTTATTTTTTACTTCACTGTACTATTCTCGGGTGTGAAGGTCTTATTTCGTTTTTCGAATAAACAAAGGATAACGTGTTTATTAACTATAACTTCACCAGGAAGGTCTTAGGATAAGAAAACAGACGTGTTGACGTGTGTTGGCTACACTGCATGTTAATGAAGCTAATTATACTTACCTGTTGCCCAAGGCTAAGTTACCTGTTGATTAGTATCGGTTGATTAACGTTTACCTTAAGATCGAAGATCCCGTTCGTCAAACGGTTCTGAATTACAAATCTATATTTTGACATTAATCAACCCCCCCCTCCTCTCCAACCCCCTAGAACACTATATATACGGCGCAGGTATAAGCTTGAGTTGACCTCGCTTCATAGGCGTAGCCACGTAGGTAGAAAGGGTAGGGATTCATACACCGCCCCTGATGAGTTACACAATGTAACAAATTAAACTTATCAGTAACAGAATCAGCTATAAATACAAAATAATTTGAAATAGAGCTGGATAAGGGAAAAGGGTTGTGGAAATAATTCTACACTCTCGAAAATGTATTTGAAAATTTACTATGTAATATAGATCTATATATAAAGCATACAAATATAAAAATACCCCTCTTCGCCTCAGTACAAACCAGAAGCGTAGCGACCCATCCCCACCCCCGAGAGCAACCTTTTTATTTTCAATTTGCACCCTCCCCTCAAACTTTTGATTTGCATCCCCCTCAATCTTTCAATTTCCACCCCCTTATATTTATTTTTTATATTTATAATGCAAAAATGCAGCTAAAATGAGACTTTAATTTGTTTTTCAAACCCATTTTGGTGCCCCATAAGGTCGGCGCCCGGGGAAATATGTCCCCCCCCCCTCGCTACGCCTCTGGTACAAAGTTAACTATGTTAGGTTTCTGGATATACTAGTCACACGACAAAAAGAGAGCCCCCCCCCGATTTTGTTTGTCTAACACAGATTGAGGCTGACAAAAAACATTTGTAGACCTATACAACACGCATGCCCGAATTCTCTGTACAACTTCCTGTAGATATGGCTACACATTGTGATATATATTATTTTACAAGTATTACTTTCTTCCTTCTGTTGATGATTATACATTATTTCACATTTTGCTTTTGTTTTAATAAATTGAAAATGATCGATGTATGAAATATATATATATATATATATATATATATATATATATATATATATATATATATATATATATATATATATATATATATATATATAATTAAAATAAACCATTAGTTTACTAAACAATTTGACTGAATAAAAATTAGTTTGTAAATTTGTTATCTAAGCTAACTGAACTTTTTCTATAGTTTTAAAAACACGGTGTCACATCGAATGTTGTGACCAGTTAAATAACCATTAAAGTTTATTCCACATGTCACATTCGTTGCCAAATTCACTTACGTTCCAAATACAATATATTTGAATAGTTCTCGTATACTATGTTGGTATTTTCTTGTTTTTATCTTTAGAAGATCTTTTGGAACAATGGGGTAGAAGACGGTATCCCTTTCTTAACTATCGCTTTGCAAATGTATCTTTGCAATTTCTTGTATAATACTGAGTGGTTTTTAACTTTTTTTTTCAATTTAAAAGTCTTTTGGTATAATACATATGTGACTTGTATATATATATATATATATATATATATATATATATATATATATATATATATATATATATATATATATATATATATATATATATATATATATATATATATATATATACATATACATATATAATATTTAAATTACTTTTTTAATGGATTTATTTATATTATTGTAGCCTAATGTCAAAATGTATGTATGTTTAACTATAATTATAAAATACATGTATGTATAACTGTCCACTGGTTGTTATGAATTTTGTTTTTACTTCTTGGCATTAAACGTTTTAATGAACTAAATTTCTAATTAAATAACTGGACTAATAACGAGGCACTTAAACAAATGGCTGGACACCTGATTGATCTGAGCTAACAAAACATTGTTGGTGCTAGAACGGTGCTACCACGTCAACATGTTATATGTGGCATCATGTTGTACAGCACGAAAGGGGTGTGGTGGTTTATTCTTTTTGTTTTATGGGGTGTAGTGGTGTATATAATTGCCCATTAACAATATATGTAGTACTGCGCTGTGAAAAAAAGTTATTTAATATTTTCCTGGATTTATGACATTTCGCTTGATTTTGCAAGGGAGTCAATCATGTTTAGTTATTCTCAGCAAGGATAATTACGATTTACCTACCTTGCTATATTTAAAGCTTTTAAAACTAAAATAATCAAATTTAAAAAATAAATAAAAATAACCGATGACTTAAGTTTAATATTCGCTCATACATAAGTGATCTTCAATACTTTAGGGGTTATTAATACATTAGTTGACTTCTATAAATCCAGGGGTCGTGGGTGGTCTTTAAAAAAGGGATCGTTAATAAATTCTGTCTTCCATCAAATTGTGAGCGAAGTTCATATTTTCGCGACAATGTGCTATTCAGGTATATAGAAGGTAATAAAATACTTAAAAAAATCA